GGAAAAAAAAAAAAAAAAAAAAAAAATCACCCTGTATATAATATGTCCGGCCGATTCAATTAACGACTCTGCTACCGCCACACCGTCGACGGAATCCGCAATGAACAATAATTATTTGGGTCAGACTTCTTCTCCGGATAGAAAAAGAGCGGCGGGTTGCAGGGAAACTGCAGTGCTATTATTATAGTCTAATGAGCGACCAATTAACGGGACGGGACGAACAATCGATTCCACTCGACGTCCGTCCGAAGACAAAACAAATACAAAACCAATATTAATAATGAGCGTACAGTGCGTTTTATGATAATTATTGCAGCAGCGGTATATTATTAAAATAAAAAAAAAAAAAACTTAATAAAAATTCTCCCGACCGAGGTGCGAAATTCCCGGAATTTTCTCACGATAATAATGTGTAAGAATAACGATCAGTAATAATAACCAGTCGGGTACATATCCCCGTGCAACAGCTAAAACAAACGAAAAAAATGCCGCTATCACGCCGAGTCATCGGCTTTGCCATTATGCGAAACGGCCGGCCGCAGTATAAATATTGAGCGCACGCCACACCCGCGCTGATAGTTCACAGCTGCTGCTGTCTCCGTCGGTAACGACCCGATAACGGGATTGCCCTGGCAAAATTACACGTTACCGAGAACGATACGCGTTATTGTTTTTTTTTTTCTAAAAATATATATCGTCGCGCAAAAAAGTCACAGCAATTATAAAAACCAAAACGGACACAATATGTCGTGGCTGTCACATTTTCGTTTGAAAATATTTTCGTAAAATATAATATTCTCGTCTTTGAATTTCATCGTTCGTGTTTGAACTCCATAATTTCAACCCTGACGTTACAAATTGTTGTGTAATATGTTTCGAGTAACGCAATTTCGCCGGTCCCGTCCGCTAAAGTACCGCAGCCGCAGTACCATACCCTCAATTTCATCAGGCGCAGCATTTTTTTTCCACCGCTTGTATACCTACTTATTGCTTTCAATTCGATAAAACCAATAAAAAAAAAAAAGCCGATAGCCGAGATGCGGGAAAAAATGGCATTGGGAGGGATTTTTGTTTGCCGTTTCATAAGATTACCGCGCAATGTAACGAAACACAGAGAACCTAATTAAAACGTCTACGACAACAACGCGCGTAATTGTTGAAATATTTACTATCATGTCAAATGTCAATGAGATACCGAGAAAATATTGTCAAGGTTTATTTACAAACACTGAGAACGTTGTTTAGCGTTCTGCAGCAGTGGGATTGACGGATTATTATGGCAAAATAGTTTATAATATTATAACTAATAAGATTCGAATGTGGAATAATGTCCGATTAACAAAAAATCAACCGGTTGTACTGTATACAATTTGTTTAAACTATCAATTATTAGCGCGTTGCGGTATCTGCATAAATTGTTTTATACGATTATTGAATGCGGATTTACATACCGTATCGAAGTTCAGCCCAATCGTTATGTGAATGCCGTAATTTTTCTGGGTTTCGGTTAGTACACTGACTTTCGTGTGGGCTTCAGATTTGAGTACGTCATCTTTTGGGAAACTCCGAAAACTAACTCGGTCACGTTTCGACCCGAACTCGATTACGGCCTTCAAATACGCCACCTGGCTCGCTGGAAACGTCCAAACTCCGGTCGTGCTATATTTTGGAAAAAAAAAAATCGCGATTCCCTGACGGTTTTAATCGAACGAATTTATAGAATTGTATGTATGTTCGACGTTTCAGTGACTTATACTTTTTATAATATAACCGCAAATATTATTAAACAGGCGCCCTGTACAAAAATAAAATATATTTGACGTGAAAACGTTACACTTTTGATGTGTACATATTACTAATGTAAAATAAATATTTAGTTTATATATTTAATATTTGATATTTGAAGTATTAAATATTAATAATAGATTCAGTGGCGAAACGAACCTCAAAAAAAAAAAACCCAAGAGCAACATAATAATCTACACCGTACCCGCCAACCGATATTTTCCAATATTCCGAATATATCCCGACGTATTTACTAAATTATTAGTAAATATAGTATACGAGTAGTAATATTTAGTTATTTCCATATTATGCTTTCATTCGTCTCTAAATTTCGGACAAAAATAAAGAAGCACTCCCTTCGACGATTGATACTCGCCGAATTATCGCGTCTTCGGATGTCTAAAATATTGATTATATCGAAATACGAACGATAATTTACACAAAAATTAACTTTTTGTTTTTACCAGTTGTCTCGGATGAAATAAAATACGTGCTTAAAATAATATTACGGTGTAATATGAACGCGGATCGAGCAGAGGCACCTGCGAACAACGCGTATGTATTATATAATATTACGAACTCTTGAAAAAGTAACATCTCCGAGTATATTGCAATAATATTAGCCGCGTGTAATCATTGTGTTCGATAGGTACGAACAATTGTATTCTAATTAGAGGTGGAGGACGACCTCAACTCGTGCCCACGCGGGCCATTATAAGGTGGTTTACGCGGTAACTATACCGACGGAGTAAAAAAAAAAAATGATAAAAAGGCTCTTCGGACCCGTCCGGTTTATCGCGATTTTTTGAAAAAATAAAAATCACAATAATAAAGCGTCGGCATTATTAAGCGCTGTTATCTAATTCGCTCTTGTAATCATCCGGCCTCCGGCATATTGCTATTGTACGTTATCGCGTTGACCTCTTTATTCTATGATGGTGCTGTGATTATTTAAAAATTAATAATCGTCCATACTATGCATATAACGCGTTGAAAACACCAGAAACTGCCTCGTAAAAAACCGTGCAGAATCTACACTGTATCGTACGTATCTACACTGTAAATGAGAAAGAGCATGTCGATTTTTGCAGTTTTCGATGTGCGATTTTAAACCATATCGATTGGTACCAGTGTAATGTATCTAAATAATGTGAAATACATATTCGGGCGTTAAGTCGTTTTAAATTTTTATATAAAATCAAGTCGAAATGTGAAAGGGCATTATTACAAATTTACATGATGTAAATGTTAAAAATCGTCAGTAGTTGTTCTTTTCTCCTGTAAATTAGCTGTTATTGACTTGAACCATTTTTCTTAAATCCCGTAAATTATCAATTTTTTAATCGAATCAAATCAATATGGATCGTATGAAAATGTTTTGAATATGATGGTAAAGTTTAGAAAAAAAAAGACCTAAAATCGGAGGTCACGTGACTATATTCGACTATATTTGGCTGAGAACAGTGAGACGTGAATACTCTACATATTTTTGGAGGGGGAGGTAATTCGTAAATGCATTCGGAGGGGATAAGTCTCGATTCTATTTTATAATCGCACACAGTAATTTAAAAAAAAAAAAATCAAAAAGCGATTTATTTATTTTTCGGCCGTCGAATGATTAGGACTCGCCTCAAGATAAAGTGGTCCATCGAAATATTTGCTTGTCTTTTTTGTCGAGTTCGCTACGTCACACTGGGCCGCGCCAATGGTACCGTGTAAATTTCGTTTTCGAATGATAATTCGTAATAATTAGAAAGAATACCTTACAATTATCGCCGACTCATTCGCGGCTACCGTACACACAGGTACAATAATAATGTGATAATAATACACCGCTGCTCGGCCGTAATAAAAAAAAATGATAATAATAATAAAAAAATATTATAAAACCGTGTCGTAGCGGGAAAACCGCGAACACACATCGTTATGATATCACACACCTGTTGGAAGATTGCACGGCGGTGAAAGTTTCGCGGGTTTACTTTCACCGCGAGGACGGCCCAATCTCGACCGTGCCTATGATTATTATTATTATTATACGATCGCGGTGTCTATACGGCGGTAATAGTGGTAATAGCGGTAATAGTGGTAGCGGCAATAGTATATAGTAGTGGTAGTAGTAGGCGGACACGGGCATTATATTATTCTGGTTTTTATTTTCTTCGTCGTTGCAAACGTGCAGATGGTGCTCGCGGAGAAAGTACCGTTACACGATTTTCCGCCAGAGATGTTTATAAAATATTGTAGTTGCACATTTTTTTTTTTTTTAATCTTTTTTTCATTTGGTTTTCCAAAGTGGTTTACCCCCATGCCGTCGTTTTCGTCCAGCACGCGTCATTAATCGCGCCGTAACGCCCCTCTATATTGCGGGAAATGTTCTCACCTCGTCTAGTCCTCCGTAAAATACGACCGTCGTCAAAACAATAATTTAACGCACTTACATTTAACACACTCGAAAACAATAGAATACAGTCGAGCGAAATGTATAAATTTGCGTTCGGCAAAACATTTCGTTTTGCAGTTTTTTTTATTTATTTATACTTAACGCCCGATTTGTTTGTCGACTCTTCTGCCGCCGTCGACCCCCCTCCACACACACATACACACACAACTATTATATATATATTATTATATTCGCTTCCGGGTGAATATTATTTATTATTGTTATTGTTTGTGCGTGTGTCGTTTCTCGCCGAGCTTAAAGTTAAAACATAGAGGAAAAAAAAACATGCAGGTAACATCGTTTAACATTTATTATTTGTATACGTTTTTCAACATAAACATTTAGCCACTAAAACGATTTGTTCCCCTCGCACCATGAGTCGGGGTACGAGCCTCTGGCAAATCTTGTGTCTCGGAATCGTCCTCAAGACGGTGTACGGTTTCTCCACTTCGGGTTCCAATTTGATCGCGTTACCTATGAAAGAGAGGGATAGAGAGACAAAACGAATTAGTCGGTTGTCGTGGTATACACACAAATGTTAATGATGTTGATACTGCTGACGGGTAGGCCACTGTAGTGGGTGGGTGGGTGGGTGGGTGGGTAGTTGGGAAAATAAGATACGATTTCGAACATTCGTTCGAATAATGTACGTACAGTCGGGGCGAGAATCTGCATTTTTGAAAATGTACGGCGTGTAAAAGTCCGAGCATTTTTACTAACCGTAAAGAAGAAAAGGATAAAAAGGCTGCGTCACTGTTTTAAGAGCTGAAGGGAACACAATATAATGTAAAATAATTTAATTTATATCTGTACGTGACGATAAACTATTGATAGGGAAAATCGATTCTGAGCGCGGAGTATTAACGGTCGTATTTTTTCACCGAACGCGAGGTAATAAAATTGCCAGTTTTTCTCGTTTATTGGGAAAACTACGAGTGGAATCAATAAATAATCTCCCCGACGCGCCAACAAGTTGAACGATTCTACAAGACAGTTCCTATATTTGTCCTACATAGAGTTTTTGTTCGGGTATAAAAAGGTTTATTCTGGTAGAGAAATCGTTTGTGCGGACGCAAACAAAACAACACACACAAACAAACACGCACTAGCGTCCCATAGTAAAACCAATAACAGAAAATTCCTATCTCAGAATCCCAAAGAGAAAAAATCCGTCGTTTTAACGCGCGATAAAAACGCGTAGACAAACATCACGGAGAAAAAAAAAACATCGACAGTGGTGATATAACAATATTACACACAAGTATACTTAATGTAGTTTTTTAAGGTCGCCTACACGTCGTTGGCAAACTGGATGCGAACCGCGTAGTTAAAACGCTAAATAATAATTTGTCCAGCCCGACCGATGATTGTCAAGGTGTGTTCGGCGGCGGAAGGTCGCATTTCGTATAATGGACGTCAACCTCCGGGTTTTTTTTTTTTCGCGAACAAATTATGTATTTTCGGATATTATTTAATAATTGCGCGACGACGATAATTCGCGCGGGCATTTGCGAAGCCGGTCGATATTTGAAAAAAAAAAAAAACAAAAAAAAAAACAAATGATAAACCGACAGAATATCGCGCGCGCCGCACTCGTCCTCCCCGCGTAACCTACGCGCGTACCGCTGTGTGTCAAGGTCGGTAAATTTTGTATTTTTTATTTTATTTTTTTTTTCGAAAAACGGCGTACGCGTTGAAAAAAAAATGTGCGAATAATAATAATAAACCGAAAAAAAAAAAACAACACACGTATACTATTTATTACGGGTGCGTACGTCGTCGCGCCATATACTCGGGATTCCGACGGCGAAAAAAATAACTCCCGCTCGCTGACGTGGCATTCCAAAATTAAATCGGAAAAAAATATTTGAATAAAAAATAATAAATAATGAAAAAAAAAAAACAACCAGAGTATAGGCGGGGTTGGCGGTAGCGTACCTACGCCGCCGCCAATCAGTCGCAATCAATTATAATTCGAAACGTTTCGGCGGGGGTTTTTCTCGACTCACTCGCCGCCGCCGCCGCCGCCGCCGCCGCCACCGCCGAATTATCGTTTTAATCTGCGCGGCAAAAAACGTGTTAAAAATTATTATTATTTTCGCGCTAATCACTTTTCAAAGGTCGCGCGCGGCGTAACGTTTTGCGACGCGCACGTCTAGGCGTCGACGAAACGTTCGATTTCCCGACGACAACAATTATAAATAATATTATGTAAACCGCCGTTTTGATCGGCCCGGATAAGCGTTCGTGACCCGTCTTTGTGCGGGAAAAAGAAAGAAAAAAAAAAAAATTCCAAAGTTTTTCCGGAAGCTCTTATACAGTTTTACCTTGCGCGCACGATAGTTTATTATTTTAATTAATTGCGTTGTTCTGTTCGCAATGATCGTCAATGTTAACGACGTTGTATAACAATAAATGCAACGAACGAGTTTCGCGCGCGCACACGCGCACGCACCACACGCGTCATAATATTATTACGAGCGGAGGGTTTCGGCGTGTAACAGCCTTCCAGTTCAATAGCACAGGAAAAAAAAAAAAAAAAAAAAAATAGTAGGTATTATTATCACCGTATAGATGTTTCGTACCGTCTAATGAATATTTATATTTTATTTTTATTTTTTTTTTTTTTTCCCCCCATATACCACTGACCTTTAAATATTTCAAGCTCAAATCGTTTTGCAACAAATTATTTACCTTTTCTTGCACGATAATTTTAACATGTTCTAAATACTCTCTAATCGGTCTATCTTTGAAAGTTATTCGACATTTCGATAGTCTATAGGTCGACCGTTTTTTTCCTGTGCACAAGCCACCGTGGCCCGCACTACAACAATACAATATTAAAATATTTTTGTAATTTAATATCAAACGAATTTTGTATACAAATATTACGTAGGTACCCCTACTAATTAGGTATACGTTTATTATTGCGATGACTAAAAAAAAAAAAATATGTAAAACGATACAATTGATGAATTTCATTCCATCCCGGTTAGAAGTGTGTTGTTATATAATATCTTGTGTACATTTCAATTATTATTTGTTACAGGACGAGAAAAAAAAGTTTGCAAAAACTCGCCCACCGTAGTTTAATATTAGAATTTTGTGTTCATTCACTTAGCGATTCGTGCAATTGTGTGCCGTACCGCCATCACTGTTAATAATATAATAATGTTCAAAGTGTACTACATTTTCGTTTCCCGTTCGATTTAATTACCAAAAGGTTAAACAGTCAACACTCAATTGAAATGCACTACTATAGTATAGACAGAAGCACAGAAGCAACTAGTACCTATAGTACTACACATATTAATAAATAATGCACTATATACAAAATACCTTACATGTATGTTGTATTAGCATTTTTATAAATTTGTTTTTTTAGCCATTTGATTGGACAGTGATATAAATTTATGTGAACACGTTCACAGTGAATCTTTTACATTACTCGCGCATTAATAAAGTGTTTCGAATTTAGTTTGACTTCTGCACAAAGTAGTAATTTTGTTGTACTACAGTATGCATGGTGGAAATTTGTATTTCTTCTTTTACAATAAAAAATACCTGTATGCCTGAACGTGCATTTGAGTATGCGGTCACTATTTTAGATTTTTTTTTTCAAACAAATATATTATGAATTTTAAAAAAAAAAATTCTGCGCACAATAGTAACTTATTTGATTTGAAGATTTCAGTTCATTCATCATGTGTATTATAATGTTTTTTAAAAGTAAATACAAATGACTCAAGTGTTTTGGTTTAAAAATTAATATTATGAAATTGGTATTTATAAAAATAAAATGTCCATTATACATATATTTGAATAAATACATTTAAATTTTTGCATAAATTCCAATATAAACATTTTACACGACTGTATTACAATTGTATTAATGTTCAGTTTTTATGCATTTTATATCACTGCCCTTATATATTTATAATTAAATTTTCATTTTTCTAATTAATTAATACACATTTCAACAGCACCATCAAACTGAATGTTCTTACATATATTATTTTTCTAATTTATATGTAAGAACCTATTAAATATTTAAATTTTCATAACCATTGGTTTTTTAACCTACATAAATAATATTTGATTTTATAATTTAAAAATGACATAATATATGGGTTTAATTTGTAATCAACTGCACTAATATAAATAATGTTTCACTGCAAAACATAGTTCATAATAGGATGTTACGATAAATTTCAGTATGTTGGATTCATTTACTACAATAATATAGTATTAGCTACAAAAAAAAAGGTTAGGTTTGGTTGTAGATAGGGTATGAAACACCAAAAATTGAATAAAATATCAATTTTTGTTGTTTTTATGTGGCTTACCAATAGGTAGTGATTTGTATTTGTTTTTCCTTGTCCATACTTCTAATACGTCGTCCATGACTAAATTCCAGTGTTTGTCATATGCAATAATATACCCCTCACAGTAACCTCGAACTGATGCAGCTGATCGTATATAGACTTTGGCACGTTGTTTTCGATGACACAAGGTCGCAATACGAGATAATGGCCCATCAGAATGACTGATTTCTTTCATACGGTGCATAACTGTTCTTCGCGGTTTTCTAACTTGTTGCACCAAAGTTGTTTGAGATGATCCAGCCACTTACAAACCAAATTTATTTAAATAGTTTTAAATGCTAATAAGTATTCATATATTCCTAAAGAACTTACCATTACTTAAATCGCGCTTTACTGGTTCAAGATCATATTCATTTTTTTTCTGTAAATCCAAATGTGTACTTAAAAAATAATAATTTATCTAAAGTCAACGTTAAAAATAATTACAAGTGGTCTTATGGATTTGATCGTAACTTCTCCAGAAGGAGTAAGTTCAAATCTGGAAATATTATCTAGTGGCTGTGCATTTTTGCTGGGCAATTTTACGTTTTTACTGTACAAAGCTTTAATCGGATTGAACGATTCTGACAACATATCCAATTCATCGTTACAACTAGAGCTGGACGACATATTTTATCTGAAAACAAAATGAAACATATAATTAAATAGGTAGATAAAATAGTTAGTAGGTATATTGAATAAGACAGATAATGAATAAAAAATCAAAAAAAAAATTTCTCAAACTAACTTAATGTTCAAAACCAATAATAACAATCATATTAGAACAACTTATTAAACATTAATAATATTGTAGAACAACATTGTTCTTGTAGAAATGTTTGATATTGTTTTTTTAACAGATTAATAGATGATAACATAATATAACAGTTTACCATAATATTGTTAACATATAACTGATAACACTTTATCGGGAGAAATAAAGGGTGACCGCCCAACCACTATAAGCGAGATCTACACGCGAGTATAACAACTACATGCATTTCTATCCACCAGTATCAAACCGCTAGAGTACGCTAACATAACAAAATATTTACATTTTGTTTTATTTTTATTTTCAGATATAAAAATGTACTTGAAAGAAAAGTGGAAATCTTTGTAAACGGACAATGACGAATCAAATCGGATCTTCACACAATCTGGTAAAATTTTAAATAAATTATGTATCAAAATAGGCATAATAATTAAATAATATTATAATGATATAACGGGTTTTGATTTATCTCTATGGCTTTGTGGGTATAGAGAAAAAAGAGTGATTGCATTTAAATTTCCTAATTTCTCGGCTAATTAGATATCACATTGGTCCATGTGAAAAGCAGTCGGAACATTGAAAATCCGCCCACGGATTTTTAAAAAAAGTGTATCGATATTTTAAAAATGTTCTCCTACAATCAAAAAACATTGTTATAGACCAACCGCATTCGGATTTAGCAGTTATCATTTATCAAACGCTTAAACGGACATGCCGTATGGCAATACCTTATTCGGTTTTACTATCCTCAAAGCAATATAATATTTTTCACTAGATTTTTTTTCTTTTAGTTGATTTAGTTGCCTATCTAAAACTGTATGAGGAAATTGAATTGATATTTCTAATGTTTCAATCGAAATTCATTAAAATTCAACATAAGCAAACAGCCAATAAATAAGGAAGGAACTAAATATTTGATACAATTAATCGAAAAAATCATAAATCGTTATATATCTTTTATGTTATAACTTAAATGAGTATAATAATATCGTGCGTGCATAGTACAAAAATCCAACTTGAAGATTTCTTGGTTTTATTATTTTTAAAGGCCTAATAATTATTACCCATAACGTGGTATTAATTTAAATAAATTTCTGTACGGTTGTTGTTGATAAATAAACGTATCGAATTTAAATAATTATTTGATTAAAATCGATACCTAATACGACCGGACGGATCCGATTGTTGACGGCGTTTAAACGATACATGTGTTGACAATGGTTTTGACATATATTTAACGTGCTAAGTCAACTGTAGTTAATGTCAAGAATTTAAACAATTGTAAAAACTATACTCGCAATATATTTAAATTAACCTGACCTAACCTAACCTACTTGATATACTTAGAAAAAAAAAAAAAAAAATGTTTTTTTTTTTCTATCAAATTACGCGTGTTTTAATTTTGAACGTTCGTACTTCATTCATGATTATTAAGAAATTAAAAAACATGGGAAAAAATCATTCTCAGCATCTGTACCAACTTATAGTACATACCATAATACTGAAAAAAATAAATATGACATGGTGTGACTAGGTAGCATCACATCTCATAATTTGCGTCGTATTTTATAATGCTAACCTACGCTTAACTTACCCCAAATAGTATCTACTCGTCGACTTACGAATATTTACAATATTATACCCATTTTAATTATAACTAACTGTTTAACTATTTTTATTTTCTACAATATTTACCGTTCTATAAATTTATTTAAAAAAAAAAAAAACCTTACGGAAATTTATAGTGGAAAACATATAGAGGAACAACGTGCAAATACTCAGGGACTCTAATAATAATTCCTAGTTAAACAAATTTTTTTCGAAAGCGGAAGTCTTCAGTAATATTTTATTTTCATGTGAAAGTATAAATAAGTGATTATTAACTGTCGTTTACCATGTAGAATATGTAAAACACAAAAACACGGCTTCGACTGCAGTAGATAGGTATACCTATACGATAAAAAAAAAACAAATATCGTGATACCGGTTTCAATAATCGTATGATAAAAAACTGAAAAAAACACCATACAGACACACGGCTATAAAAAAAAAAAAAAAAAAAAACGTGTTATACTACCTATATGTTAATTTACGATATTCGGCGATTGTTTTAGGAATGTGAAGTGCGTGGGCAGTTTTTCTTTTCATTTAAATTATTTATTAGAGATTAATGAAACCGTTTCAAGGTCTAATTTCGTTAATTCAGTAAATTTATCACTTTAAAATAATTAATTGTAATCCATAATTATTTTAATTAGGTATTAAAAGGCGTTATATGCTAGTGAGTGTGTGTACGAGAATTTTAGAACCCGACACGCAGCGTCGAGTTTATCGGTTTCACTAGAATAGGTTTTTTTTTTTTTTAATATTTTATTTTCATTTTTTTGGGTGCGTATGTAAATTTTCTACCAGAAATCTTGTTCCGATCAAAAAATGAATAGAAACTTTCGCGTAGCATTTTTGATCTAGTCGGTGCATCTAGAGGTCATTTTGTCCACTCGTGGTTTTCTAATATATTATGCAAAAAAAAAAAAAACTGGCATCCATTTGATTTCTCGGTTACCTTGACAACAAGGTGAAAACTACTCTGCTCAGAATCGTTTTTCATTAACAATGGTTTATCTTTTAATATAAATTGAATTATACTTAATAATAGTACTAATAATTTAATTTTCTTTTTTTTGGTTCAATCTTATCGACGGCGGTCAATAAACCTTGTAAATCAGTCTAATGTAGTCTGAAAATAATATTGTTAATCGGGTCCGTTCGACAAAAGACACCCGCCTGAATAAATCGTTTTAAAAAGATACGCGCGACATTTAAAGAAAAACGCCGTGGGTCCAAGGTTAGGTACACACGTTAACCGTAACGTAGCGTGGTTTGACTAGCATGCCGTTTGAATAAAAATGTCGAAATCGTACGCAAAATAGAAATGTATTATGATAATGTGCAAAAGTACTACGACCGCGACTACTTTAATTTATAGACTATTTTTAGAATTTATAATAACAATTTAGACGAGATTTTAACGCGTTTCTAGATTATATATTATGCTATTATAATATGTCCGTGTCTTAGCCGAGGACGTTTTATTAACACGCGCGTTGATAATATTTTTAAATTTAATATAACATACTAAACGTCGTCGCGGCGCATACATAATAATATTATAATGTACATGATAACTCCGTATAATATATTATAGAGAGAGAAAAAAACTCCTCCAAGGTAAACAGCTGTACACTCAATAGGCCAAAGCGCTGTGTTTAACAATATTGGACGATGAATAAATCGCTGTTAATGGCTTTTGAAATGAAATGCTCACGCGTATAATAATATCGTTACACACAATGACGATACGAAGACGATGACGCATATGATTACGACGATCACAATGGCATAAAGGGAATAAAGTGAACTTAGACGATACAACCTACAACCACCGTCAAAATATAGAAAAAGACATTTTTTTTTTGCTAATTATCGTACCTGTAAACAAAATGTTTTTTACCAAAAAATAAAAATTATTCGTCAACAAATCCAACCCACGAAACCGTTCCGCCATTCCATCACGGTCGACTTTTTCACTGTCGTATTTCGGTGTATATTTTAAAATTTCATTCATCTGTTGCGTACCTATCCAGTGGCGTGCTGAACATTTTTCATACTTGAAGCATTGCAAAATAAAAAAAATTATCACCCGCCCAATCAAAACATGGATTTTTTTGGATGTCGCTCAAATAATTACTGCAAAAACATTTTTCTTAGCTATATATTGACTACATAATTTAGGCTATCGTATTCGTAAGTAAAAGTATATTAATAGTATAATATACGAAACAAAAGGCATCTCCGATCTCTGAACTAGTCAATCTCAATCAACATTCAAAACATATTTGGTCAAACGCCCACCCGTCTTAGTACTGAAGCAATTACCTTAAAAAAACCTACTTAAGCACGCCGCTGTACCTGTCTACTCGTTTTATAATATGAAAAAACCATTGATATGTGTCCACATTTTCTTTTTATTTCCAATTTTTCACTGCAGTATTATACTGATGAGACAAATTTTTCAATTTTTTTTTTTTTTTTTTTGTTTGAACACTACGAAACGACTCGATGAAGTTAAACAAATTTTACGCTGTTGTACATTTTTTCTATTTCCTGTTATTATAATGGTAAATATTATTCGTTCTTCGCAGTGCCAAACTTTTGTTTAATATTTTGTATTAAGCCGAACAAAATTATAACAAAAACGGTTTTAATCAAAAGATAGTAATGATAATATTATTCAATATGATCAGTTTAAAAAATGTAGCGATGCGAACGTGAACAATTTTTTTTTTTTTCATTTTCCCATGGTAAAGTCAAGTTTAATAGTTAAATATTTTAATTAAATTAAAACTTATACTCACACAATCGCATAATATATTTCACTTGTTAGTCATGACTGTTATGTATGATTAGTTTGATTATTTTTATTTGATACTGTATATTATAATATACCAATTACATATTCACTCGAATAGAGGTTCAAAACAAACAAAAGAAAAAAAAATCGCTAATTTAGTTATATTGATGAATCTTAAAAAGAAAAAAAAACCTTCCTTTTAAGAACATTGTCAGAACAATATATTACAAACAAAATATAACTAAAACTAATTAACCTCGGTTACAGTTAATTAAAAAACGTTTTAATGTATTTTTTCCCCCCCAGAATAATGTACACAAGGTGCTTTTTTTTTCACCACGAACCAGATTATAATCAACAATATTAATCGGTATTTTTTTTTTGTATTCGTGATTTTTGTTGTTTTTTTTTTTTCTGCGCCAAGTCAAAATAACTAGAATAATTTTACTTCCTATAACTTGCCTACTATACAATACTAACTACACGGGGTATGTAGTTCTAAAAAACAGCATATAGGAAACAAATTTGTATCGTAAACCCGAAACGTTCTCGAAAAATCGAGACTGGTAAAATTATTATCGATCTGTATATTATATTATTTTAATGTTGAATTTTCTTGAGGTGTATTTACTGATGTATTGATACTGATATTGAGTTATACTTGTATAGATATCGCAGGAGCACCGGT